TTCTCTCTATCCTCTGTTTTTCTTGATTTGGACCCATCAAGCCTGGAATCATTCAAGGATGTAAACACGACAAACTGAGTGACCAGAACCCGTTGAGCCAGTGCAGTGTCGAGAGTGTCACGACTCCATGCGCGACACAAGTCCGTGTGGCCTGCCGGGTCGCTTGCTGTGGCGCCTTTTTGGATGCATGGGGACCGAGGTCCTCCCGGCGTTACATGGCCAGTTTCGGAGGTCCTCGGAACGCGTAGGGTGCTGGAGAGTTGTTGGCACACCTTGGCAGGTCCGCGGGAAGGACCCGCGGGCCGCAGAGAGGGGAGAGAGAGAGAGAGAGAGAGAGAGAGAGAGGAGAGAGCGAGAGAGAGAGAGAAGGGAGAGAGAGAGAGAGAGAGAAGAGAGGAGAGAGGAGAGGGAGAGAGAGAGAGAGAGAGAGAGAGAGAGGAGAGAGAGAGAGAGAGGAGAGAGAGAGGAGAGGAGAGAGAGAGGAGAGAGAGAGAGGAGAGAGAGAGAGAGAGAGGAGAGCTGCTACTGGACGCCGAGGCCGCTGCAGAAATAATGGCTGCTACAGTGTGTTGAAGGTCCGATCACGTGTGTATGCCGTCACCTAGACACACGTAGCATCTCCCATTTCCTTCCAGCAGCCAGTTCTCTGCACACGTGTGTGTCCTTACATACTCAGGCGGCACATACGATATTGACGGCGTGGCCCGAAACTCCACCGACATGCTGGCAAGTTAGCCTCGTGTCCTGCCTCTACCGCCCTGTAAACAGTGCTGATTTACATCAAGCTCCGCACACTGGCCTGCTTCGAGTCCGGCACATTGCCAGGCCTTTAGAGAAAGTCGGCTCTTAACACAGTTCGACTAGTTCGTTTTGCACAATATGCCGGACCGTTTTACTAATGTTGGTGGCTTATTTACAGGCAGCCGAAGGCGGCAGGCGTTCTGCTGCTCTGGTAATGGCGGCTTCATCTTCCCCAACACAGTCGACTACATGGAGACGGCGTGCGGACATAGAGGAGGATAAGGTCATCCACACCGTTCGCATTCCGAACCCACACCACCGCACTGGGTAATGTTGCCGAACCCATACCCACACACTGGGGTCGGATGACGGACTCACACCCACGCTCTAGTTAAGCTACCGAACCCACCGCCCACACACTGGGTCAGCTGACGAACTCACACTCACGCTCTGGTTAAGCTACCAAACCCCACGCCCACACACTGGGTCAGCTGACGAACTCACCCACGCTTACCGGACCCACGCCCACACGCTGGGTCAGCTGACGGACTCACACCCCACGCTCTGGTTAAGCTATCAACCAACACTCACGCATTCAGGTCCGACCGTTTTTTGTCTTCCTTTGTGCGACCACGAAGCCATCATCCGAGGGAAGAGCTTTCTCCCTGTCGCGAGGATGTGAATACCCTTGGCGTGTTGTATGTCACTCTGGACCAACACCGATGACAGAAACACCACCGGTTACGACAAACAAACTGTATGGGTCATCTACCTTGATTCAAATTCCAAAGACAACGCTTAGCTCATTGCTGCTCCAACAACGGCCGGACCAGCTCCAGACCATCCTGCAGGTACCGCAATCAGTAATGCCAGACTAAGCAGCCACGAGGCATCGGAAGGTGTCGGCCGAGGCGCGCAGGCGGTCCGCAGGGCACACTGTCGTCACCGGTGTCGGCTCTCCCCAGGCGAGGTGGTCTCCGGCTGGGGTGCCGGCCGAGGCGCGCAGGCGGTCCGCAGGGCACACTGTCGTCACCGGTGCCGGCTCTCCCCAGGCGAGGGTGGCCTCCGGGCTGGGGTGCCGGCCGAGGGAGCAGCAGGCGCGGTCGCAGGGAACACTGTAGTCACCGGTGCAGGCTCTCCCCAGGCGAGGTGGTCTCCGGCTGGGGTTGCCGGCCCGAGGCGCGCAGGCGGTCCGCAGGGCACACTGTAGTACACGGGTGCCGGCTCTTCCCGGGCGACGGTGGTCTCCGGCTGGGGTGCCGGCCGAGGCGCGCAGGCGGTCCCCGCAGGGCACACTGTCGTCACCGGTGTCGGCCTCTCCCCAGGCGAGGTGTCTCCGGCTGGAAGGTGCAGCCGAAGGACGGCGGCTATCAGTGGACGCTTGATCGGCAAGATGAACCCACAGCTGCCTCAGATGTTCTACCCGGTGCTGGATGACATCACACTCACCAAGGGCGACATCGTGGTACGCTCACCAGCTGTCTCCAAGTGTACCTCGCGATGTTCACATGCAGACGTTCATATGAAACACACCCGTTCAACCTAGGCCCTTAATGGGCGAACTGCATGCAAGGCTACACACCCGTCAACCTAGGCCTTAATGGGCGAACTACATGCAAGGCGAACATCGTGGCAGAGCTGCCCAAACCGCTTCCAAAGGTTGCCCTCAAGACCTATTTCTGACGCCGCCCACCCGGCATACCGCCCGCTGGCGCAGGCGGCGCGCTGTCGTCGGTCAGTCCGACGCTCGGCCAGGGGGTCGGTAGGCCCTGGAGATAAGCTCGGGTGCTCGCGGCGCGTCGACATGCCCCGGCTGACCTAGCGTTGCTTGGCAGGCTGCGCGATGCACGATGAACAACTACCGCTCCAGGATCACAAGAGTCGGGTAAGAGCGCGCCCGCTGCGGTGGGAGAGGGGTTGTAACGTCTCCGGGGTGGGCGCCTGGGACGGGCGTGCCACACCGGGCTGGTGGTGGGCACGCCCAAGCTTGTGTTCTGTTCACTGTGTTGCACTGGTCTTGCTTGACAGGGCTGCACTTCTGTGTAGAAAATCTGCTACTTATGAATGGTTTTGGTGTTGTACGTTTGCCCTTCGTGTAAACCATGCACCGTGGTTAACCTCCCAGTTGTGGCCAACTTTGCTGTGATTGTTTTGTTCGTTGGCTTGCTTTAATGTGTTGTGTCCGCCTCATGAATCAGTGCCTTGCTCGTTGCATGCCGGACACTTCGATGAATGAGGAGTGGGCATACATTTGAACCATTCCATTCCATTTGCTATGGCTCAAAACAAACACCAGCAGCATGCTAGACGTGCCCGTGGGCTCAGGGTAATGGTGCCCACGCGCGATGTCCTGCCATGCTAGACGTGCCCGCGGGCTCAGGGATGATGGGGGTGATGGTAATCACGCGCCGGTGTCCTGCATGTGCACTTGTCTTCACTGAGCTTGCTGCGGTCTGCTGCTGCCCTCGATTCGCAGCATCCGCGAGCAGTTTGCAACTTTCTCTCGTCACACAGCTGCACCCGCAGGTAGCAACAGACGCTCTCCTCATGGGATTCAATAGCCCAGACTGCTTCAAATGACGGCCTCCCGCACGGCACCCTCCACGGGCGGAGTTCTTAATAAGACAGGCTCAGGGCAAGCCACGCAACGCTACGGCAGACGCCAATGGTACATATGCGGGTCCGGCGCGTGGCAGAAAAGCACGTCTCTCTGTGCTGTAGGTGGCGTCCGAACGCGGCAGAAGGCCCCGACTCGCTCGGCTTGCTCGTAGTATGCCCCCCCCCCCCCCCCCCCCCCCCCCCTGCGACTTGGCGCCACGTCGGCCAGGCCACTGAATTGCGTCGCGCCATTTTTATGGGTCGTTTAAGCCATCATTTGGCAATAAGGTGCGTTCTCGGCCTCGCTCCCCGGAGCTGCTTGCTGGGCTGCGTGTAGACGTCCTTTCGGCGAGTCTCCGATCTAAACCCATCACGTGTACATGTAGGCGCCTCGTGTCCCGGAGGTGTCTCCTGCGGGGTCTTTTTGCTGGTTTTTACACCGCATCCGATCAGGCAAAACGAAATGCGCGAGGCATTGGAAAGCCGGCCACAGCAAGTTTTTTGAAAGTCATGCGCAGGGAATTGGAACGGGTTCTCAGTAAGCGGTTTTGTCCGAGGCAGATGACGTGGCTGGACTAGGTTTTGGGTCGCCGTTCTCAGCCACCATGTCCCGATCGGCCGTTTGACTTAAACTGGGCTCCAAGCGTTGTACAACGGCTGTTACCCAGTGGTACTGTTCTGACAATACGGCGGAGGAAAGCCCAAACAGGGGGAGGAAGGAAGGGACAGCTGGCCAAATAGACATTTTTACCATGGATGCTACGGGGTTTCATGGGAAGCCATGGAACAAGTGTCTTTCTTAGAACACGTTTGCAGCCCAGGTGGGTCGCTGAAGTCATCCAGTGGGAAAATTGGAAACCGAAAGAAAGTCAGTTGGTGTCGTGTGTTCTTACAGCCCTGTCTACCCACATATACGCTCAGCTGATACAGACCATCTTCATGCCTATGTCTCTCGGCGATGTCATACATGCTCGCTTTGTCCTCGCAAGCTTGTGTTCCATGCCGTTTCAGCGGGCCGATGCCGACTCGCTCACAACGCAGGGGGGTTAATTCCATCTGTCACTGCAAACAGCTCAGCCTAACTTGGAGTCCGCTTTGATACCGACTCTAGTAGAAAGGCAGGCACGATTACGGGGTCAATCCCGATGAAGTCGATTGTGACCAAAATCAACGTAGAAAATGATCCAATTCATGGTTTTCATAAGCCGCACTACGCTGTTTAATTTGAACACAGTGCATGCAAAGCCGCGCGTCCGACCATGCATATATGTCCTGTATCAGTATATATGATAGTTAAATTGATATTTGAGTCGACTCAAGGGCCGCCTGGTCAGCTCGAACGTGGCCAACTCACGAGAAACTGCAAGGCGATCAGTTCCAGCCGGATCGAATCAGCCTTCAGTTCCGGGGTGGATTCTTACTTCATCTGCGCAGACATCGAATTGTCTTGGAAATAAACTTCGATGGCGCGTCCGAATCCTCGATTGAATTTGTAGCTTTGTATCGCGGCAGAATCCGGAAATCTGCCCCGTAAAAAACCGCCCGCCTGCAAAAGGAGAACTCAGATAAAAAGGAACGTTCAAATTGCGCTTTCCAAGAAGCTATCTAGCATCTGAACATTTTAAGGCCACGCTATACCACACATTCACTGCCTTCATGTCAGAGTGCTTTGCGCTTTCAATTCACTGCATGGAACCTATGCTATCTGAATGGCTCGGTCGGAACAAGCTTTCAATTTCACTTTTGACACTCGCGAGCCATGTTCTCCCAGCATGGACTCGTAATCCACCGCAATCTCTGACGTTGGCCAGGCCAGCGGACAAGACGGCACAAAGCCCAACGGACCCTCCGGGCCGGTGGCGAAGGCTCATCTGACGAGCGCGTCCCTCTGACCTTGCAGTGCCACCGCCGATGACGAGATGTGCAATTTCTATATGATGTATTGGACGGAGCTGAGGCCGCTGAAGAAGGGCGTTTGCTTTACACTCGGGCCACCCCTACTATTACTGGCATAAGAACGGTCAGCGACCGTTTACCAATGCTGCCAACGCTGGCCTCCGCCTCCGAGATGACGGCCCGGCGATGATGCGCCCACTACCTCGGCCTCCCGTGACCCGATCTGACCCGACCCCGACATGAGGTTCGTGGAAGGCGTGCCAGGCTGTTGCCCGGAGCTTTCGGACCGCGGTGGTGAGGGATCCACAGCCGACGCTGGGCCCCACAGCGGGCCGGCGGGCAGGGCACTGATGCCGATCCGGGGACGTTTGTGTCCCGGGCTGGCTTTTTGTCACTGGAGGACGGAAACTGCTGATGCTTCGTGCTTATCTGTGTTTTGCACAATGTTCGCATGTGTTGCGCATGACTTGAGTATTTGTCGATCAGTGTCGATGTCAGAGGCTGACAGCAGCCCCACATTTGGATGTGCCCAGGTCACGCGTGATCTCCTATGTTTGCATTTTGTGACCTCACCGCTTCTGTATCACGTGGACATTAATGTGCACGCTCCAGCAACACACGCCTTGAAAACATGCACATCCCAAAAACACACCGCGTCACCAAAGGCATCGGTTCTCTTAGGTGTGTCCACCACGGCATGCGTAGAATAATGGGCTGCAGCCTGAATTCTGGCCAAGAAATCATCCCATAGCTGCCTGATTATGAAAAAATTGGGTTTATTGTAGAAAGTGGCCTCTCAAGTCTCTCATATATCGCCCATCATTTTGCGCGGGATAGCGAATACTATCTTGGCCCAAGTATGTTTATCAAACGCTTATTTGGTGTGCTGTTCTTGCATTTGCGACATTTGGCAGGCGTGGTACACTTAGCGTTGTTTTTGTTACGTATTTTGAAGCTGACGGATTAGCACAGCCCATGGAACGAACAAATGTGACCTTCATAAACCAAGAGGTGGACAGCGCGGCCAGCTAATTATCTAAGGAGACATTACACAGCGAATATAGAACTTTAAAGTGGAGTCTGTCTTACGTCAGTTTTGCCCGCTTGTCGTGCTGTGCCAAGGGCATCCAACTCAAACATTTGGAGAACGTTGACAGGGATGTCCGTCACTGTCAATGATTTTGTGGCCATAGTCACGTCCTCTTCATCAGCGGGTCTGATGGCTGGCTGCGTTGAGTTCCTCCAACGCAATATGAAGGACCGGCTGGCTGCGCCTTCTAAAAGCTGGAGTTGAAAACGGTCTTTATATAACCTACTTTTAAAGTGTGAATAGCATGCTGTGATGACCGTTTAAAAACCCACGTGCCATTAAAAAACCCATCATTGTTTAAAAACACGTGCATCGTTTAAAAAAACATGCCCCGTTTAATGGCGCAATTACCGTTTAACGCACCCTGTCCCCGTTACACCTTAACACCAAACCTCACCCCATGACCCCAGATGTTAAACACTACGCGGACCTTGTACTCAACCCACGAGGCGTGATGCCGCTGCGCAGATTGCACGGCTGCAAGCCGTTGTCACTATGCGGGGATCGAGCATCCATCTCATAAGGTATTCGTTACATTGACGTCGATGTTGCAGCGCTACAGCCGACGACGAAATGTGCAACTTCTACATGATGTACTGGACAGAGCAGTCGGTGCTGTCCAAGGGCTACTGCTTTAGCTGGGGCCCGCCTCTCTCCTACTGGCACCGGCTGCCGATGGGGTTCATGAAGCTCTTCTCGTTTCCGTGGCTGGGAGGGATCCCAGACAAGAAGCGCGTCTCTCGGAAATTGATGGCAATGAGCTACGGTCTACATGTTCGGCCAAATGAGGAGTGAATAAGGCTCTGGATAGGGGTAAACCAAGACTCCAAAGACTTGTTGCTGGAGCTGTTCCAAGTTGTTACGATTGTTACGGTTGAATATTATGGGGTTGCTATTACCGTTTAATACGATACAAGGCTGTTTTTACATGACATTCAGCAGTTGTCTGTTATGCATCTATTGGACTATCGACAGGCAGTGTGATGGTTCGCACCGTGTTGGTTAGGGACAGTGCCACGTTCTTTGGCATGACCACCCGTCGGTTTTTGTTATGTGATTACAGTAATGAAGATTATCGGCAGGGCCAGGATATTTGGAAGCTGCACAACTACATGTATCAGAAATATGACCGGCCCAGTGTATAGGTGCACGTTTGTTTGTTTACGTGCACAACTGTTTAGTTGTTGGCGCCTGTGTTTTCTGTTCGAACATTTTATTACTCAGTTATATTTCCGTTGCGTTATGTTGGTGTTCGTTTGTGCCGCTCCAATAGCTGAGGAGAAGTTTTGTTTTGTTTTCTC